ATCAAAAGTGTTACGCCGGGGCGTGCATCAGAGGGCCCGATTCCCAGATTCCATGTTTTACACAAATAGAATCCAAATGTCATCGATATAAGGAGGCTTTGCTGTCAATATGTATGGATGCGAACGCGTTCTGAATTCCGATCACTCCAAAGATATCAAACTTATCCATTTATGTTTATTTTACGAACAACGATGCAGCTGGTGCTACCGGTTTTCTTTTATTTCTTCGCTCCTACAGATGAATTGGATTATTTTGATATTCTCTCCACGAGTTCTGTTGAGTTTTTACTCATTAATATGTCCGCTTTTTCAGAAGCAGTTGGCAAGCTTCGACACAAGACATGTGGGTTTCAGAAGAATTGATTAAACTTTGAAAGTTTAACGAAGATAATAAAATTTTCTTTTGAACGAAATATTATCAAATTTCAACAATTACTGCTGTAGGTACGTTACTTGAAAATGTGTGATCCTGTGGAGTTATTTCCCCCAATACAACATACTCCAAAATCAAAATGCAAATAAAAAACTTAACGTTTGAAAAGTTTTTCAAAATAATATCAGAAATCACTGTATCAAGACTGTATAAAGGAGAGATACATACGTATAAGAAAATGAATATTTCGAAATAAAATTTCGATACATTAATCTCTCCCAACTTAGGCCTGGCGAATTGACGCTCCTTGTTCATCTTTCACTGCCTGAACCACTGTACATGCTGTTTTTGGCGAGTGCATTGGCTTGGGAAGTGGGGGTTGAGCAAACTGGCCATCCGATGCCTGCTTCCACGTAGCCCCGCTGGATATGGTAATGACAGAATCACTTGTGGTTCTGTTATTCCCTAACTGAATGTCATTCCAACGATGGCTTAATCCTAAGGTGTGTGTATCCGTGCCGAGAGGATGAATGACACTGAGCCTATCAGCTGTCTCTACGGAACCTTCGAGATACCGGGCGCTCTCTCGTCGTAGCATCGCCTTGTCACGGTGATGCGGAGCTATGCCGTGATTGACCTTCTTTTCCCATCTACTCGTGGGACTTTTATGGACAGAGTAAACTTAAAAATTCTTTCTAACGCTGAGTCTACAGAGGAAATGGATGTCGAGCTTACGACTCCAACTGACCTCCCTGTAAATTTAGATCAGGAGCAAGAGCTTCTCAACTCTCCAACTCCTGATCCAATAACTGAACTTAAAAAAAAGGATTGGTGGTGCAGCCAGCAAACGACTGAGTCGTCTCCTCAAGAGCGGGGTACCTTATGAAACCGCCTTGCACCAAATTCTTAGCGCCGTACGTAGAATCTGTCCCAGGTGAAGGACAAACCCCCCCCTGAGCAGGTTAGCAAACGTTTGCGTTCAAGTGATGATTCACCAAAACCAGATGCAGAAACTGCCCTGCACGGTTGATGTACCGTCAGATGTACCTGACGTGCATAATCCCTCATATGGGAACGTTGTCGCGGGTATCAAGGTGAGAATTTCGTACCTCGACCATTAACGAAGAAACAGCAGAGCATATACTTTGTACCTGCCCCACTGGGGACCGAATCAGGTTTTTAGAGTTCGGCAGAGCCGTACTCTTACCATCTGACCTGAAAGACCACTCACCATACACACTGATCAGCTTCATTAAGAAGCTGGGTTTATTTGGTCGAGAGTGAATAGATGTGAGCCACAATGAACCCTTGCGGGTTGCGGTGAAGGGTCGAATAGACCCACTCACGTTGGACTTAACCTAAGGCGTTCTGGTAAATGCCCGCTGGAAAACTACTTCTCTGGCTAATACCACGCTGGATATTTTAATACATCCGACAGACACTTATGCAAGATATCTCACAGAGATTATTCTCGCAGATGTTTCTCGTTCGTCCAGCAGCAGGGCCATGCTGAAATCATTTGAGTAACTTTCTTATTAGTCAGTGGGCTATGATTGAAGTCTGGCAGTAAACAAATCTAAAGCAAATGAAACTTCAAACGTTCAAGCCAGTCTGCCCACTGACTAATAAGAAAGTTTTTCTTCCTTATTCAGAGGAATCGGGCAGATTACGGATATGCAGTTGGTTAGTACCTCGTTCACTAGATGGAGTGACATTTTGTGATGTTCGCTCCAACTTCGGAAGAGGAATGAAATAATCTGAAAGAATTCCGATTTCCAATTGTAGAATATCATTGACTTTAGGTCGATGATGGTCACTATCTTGCACTGATGAGTGGCTAATAAGTCCGAAACCGGTCTACAAGTGTGCTCGTTCCATAATTGAAGGTCGACTCTTTCAGTTATATTGCCAATTGCATATGCAGGAAATTTTATGTGAAGAGCACCTTTGAATTTTTTATATCTGGACCATGACCATAGTTTTCAGAATAGATATATTTTCACATGATTTTTTTTTTAAATATATTATTTCACTCGACAATCACCAACCTTTTCAATGTTACCCAACATATTTCTGAAACCATTGATAGGAGATCCTAAACTGATATCATTTATACGGACTTCTCTAAGGCGCTCGACAGACTTGATCACGGTTACTGCTATCGAAATTGTACAGGTAGGGCTTTCCTCTGACCCTGATCCAACTTTTTGAATCATACTTCACTGACAGGCGTCAGTATGTTATATTCAATGGCTTCAAGTCTGTGGAATATTCAGCCACCTCGGGTGTTCCACAAGGAAGCAACCTAGTTCCACTCCTCTTTACGCCTTCATAAACGACATATTCAAGGTCATTGATATCAACTGTTTGATATACGCGGATGACCTGAAATTATATTGTGAGATCAATGGCATCGAGGACTGTCTTCACCTCTCCCTCAATCTGAAACGTGTTGAGGAATGGTGTGTTCCCAGCAATCTTCCTTCAAACGCGAGTAAATGTAATATAATGACGTACACACTGGAAAATCGTCCATTTTCTTGTCAATATTTAATGAACGATGTTCCACTTCAACGGCCTCTCACATTCACCGATCTGTTTAAAAAAAATCTGTTTAAAAACTGTTTTTCCGTTAACCAGCTGTCGCACCCCTACGAATGACAACCCTCAGAAGTCGAAACTTGTGCGAGCTAAGGATTAACGAAGTCTTACCTTTTAACGTGTGATTCCTAACACGGGTTGGACGGTAGCAAGTGAAGATCGATCGTTCAGACTAGGGCTTGAACCACCGACCAACACGGTAGTCAATTCGAGTGAGTGAACAAAGCACCCACGCCGAACCGCTTAGCTACCGACTGATCTAGGTGTTACCTTCGACACAAAACTTTCCTTCGTGCCACACATCAAAGCCACTTTGTCTGCTGCAGAGTGTATGGATTTATAGCACGAATCTTCAGAGATTTCTCGGATCCATCTACATCGAAAACCTTATACTATGCTTTCGTCAGATCAAAATTAGAATATGCATCCATAATCTGGAATCCATCTCATCAGTTGTATACAGAGAAAGTTGAATCAGAACAAAGTCGTTTCCTAAAACTTCTCTCCTATAGATCAGACAATATCTATCCATCAACTGGATTTCCCCAAGATGCATTGTTAGCTAGACATGCTATGAAAAGCTTGTGTTGCCGTCGTGATTGTCACTCCACAATTTTTCTTTTCAAACTGGTTGATAATTTGATTATTGACCTACATATTCTGCAAAACCTCAATTTGAATGTATCTAGACCAACCTCTAGAGTGGTTGATCCTTTTTATCTGCCAACACTACGTACAAATATTCTGAAACGTTCATCTCTGCATAACATGTGAGTCAAATGTTTGTTTGAAGGTGGTTGACAATGTTTCGTGGTGTATTTTATCAGTTCGGACTTCCATTGTCTAATAAGATATGAATTGATTTAAAATCCCTGAAAAAATCTGTAAAAAATTAAAAAGAGATTAGTGAAATTAAAAAGAGATTAGCTTAATATATTTTTTTCAGCTAATCTCTTTTTGATTTTTCACAGATCCTTTCAGGGATTTCAAATCAATTTATATAGTATTAGACAATGGAAGTCGGAATTAATAAAATACATGTGTGTCAAATGCAATTCAGCAAGTTGTCAGTTTGACATTTTTTACTGTTCCATCTCAGAGATTGGGTCTTTTTACTTTAGCTAATTCTATAAGTATTGTTTTTATCTTATAACTTATTGTAATTGTATTGTATTGTGATTTGACTTATATCCCTGTTCTATAGTTGGGTGTAACCTGTAGAACAGTGTATAAATAAATAAAGAAATTTCACAAATCAATTTTATTTGTATTTTCATACACATAAATTATAAAGATTATTTTCTTCATTCCATGTTTTCGTTTGAACATTGTAAATATCCATTAATACGAATTTTTTCAGTAATCTTCGTATCTCGTTCTCTTCAAAAAATCATTTTTCCTCAGTATTGGCAATACCAAGGCATCAAGCACCTTGAAATTTCGACATGATGTCTTCAGAGTTTGTTACCAAAGGTTTTCCAGTATACTCCATGATTCTCTCACTATAACCCTATCAGATACAAACTTGATTCGATACAAGTCGAATGGTTTCATTTATCCTTCAGATTGTTCAAAAGTTCCGTCTTCATCTCGCAAACTCCTGGCTTCTTCCAGTGAAGAATATGGCTTACTTCCGCACAAACCTAAATCACAGTTTTGATCAAGAGGTAGTTAGTTTCTCCATCGGAATCTTCAGATGCTTCTACTCTTACAAAACCATTTTGATCCAAAGCATTTTGCAATTACTTTCAGAAGGGTTTCTAATCGATGCAAGTCGTATAACAGACGGTTGCATTTATCCCTCAGGATTTGTTTGATAAGATCAATTGTTCAAAAGTTTCATCTTTGTCTCGCAAAGACCTGGCTTCTTCCAGAGAGAAGTCGTATAATAGATGGTGGCATTTATCCATTTATCCATTTATTGTCAGAATTTATTTGATACAGACCAATTGCTCAAAAGTTTAATCTTTGTCTCGCAAAAACCTGGCTTCTTCCAATGGAGAATGTGACTCAATTCCGCACAAATCTAAATCACAGTTTTGATCAAGAGGTTGTTAATTTCTCCATCGGAATCTTCAGATGCTTCTATTTTCAGGAAACCATTATGATCCAAAGCGAACGTGCAGTTTTCTCTATCACCCTCATAAATTTTGAAAGTGACATTCTCTTGATAGTTCTCAGAGGTGCGAAATCTCTTACTTTTTTTCACAGGTAGAGATGAATTCCTTTCAATAAATACATCCATGAAGTGACCATAGCATTCAAGACCAATTGACAGTGGAGTAGCATGTATCATTTTGCAATTACTTTCAGAAGGGTTTCTGATCCAAAAAGCTTCCAAACATGCACCGGAGGCAACAGCTTCGTCTGGATTGAAGTCAGACCTCATTGTCACACCTGGAAACTTTGTCATGACCTGTTCCCGGATTATAGGCATTCTTGTAGATCCACCAAGTAACGCTAACTCATCTATTGAATCTATGGTCCAGCCTGCATCATCAAGACAAAGATCGATTGTGTTGATTACTTTTTCAATAATATCTTTATTGATATCTTCCAGTTCAGATCTACTCAGTACCAAATTCAGATCGTTTAATCCATCGTAGCAGTCGATGGTGACAGAATATTCTGAATTAGAAGATAACTGGTGTTTCAAGTCAACACAACCTTTCATAAGCCTATGTTTGATTCGGCTAGTGAAACATCCACTGTGGAATTTCAGTAATCTTTCATCTATATCAGTCCCTCCTAGTAGTGTGTTCCCGGCAACAGCTTTAACTTCGAAGATCTTGTCCTTCAGAAGAATCGCAGAGACATCAATTTTTCCACCACCCCAATCGAAAGCCAATATCTTTGAAATTTTGTTTGTATCTCTGATGTAATGTAAAGCTCCAGCACTTGTCTCTGAAATGAATTTCAGTAACTTCAGACCTGCCAGCTCAACGGCTTTTTTCATTGCCAGTCTCTGCGAGATGTTGAAGTGAGCTGGTATTGCAACCACCACTTCTTTCACCTTTGTGTTCAAATATTCAGAAGCCATCTGCTTCAAGTATACCAATATGTGAGCAATGACTTCTTCCGGTGTTTTGAATGATTTCCTACCACCAATTGTGAGCTGGTAAACGGTGCTGTCATCAGTCCAACGTGCCAGCATGAAATCTGTGGTTTTCAGGTTGCAGGCTCTTGATATGTAGTCGTCATCAAATTTCCTGCCGATAATCCTCTTGGCATCTGAAAAAATAACACAAATAATCATTTTCAACAAAGAAAACAGAAGAAGGAATTTGAAATTTTATACATTCGCAATGAAAATATTTTAAGGAGCTAACAACGCTCTGATATACTGTAATATTCTGATTCTCATGCTTTAGGCTTTGCCAAACAAAGATTGAATACCTGGATGGCAAAAAGATTTATGGACTTCTGTCAGAACGTTCCAGGACTGGCCCACGCCAAGGCGTTTATTCACCCTTCGAATCATAATACCAAACAGTTGATGGACTACAATAGGGATGGACTACGATGTCTAACAGGCCTTCTTGCAGGTCACTGTCATTTGAATTATCATATGCAGAGACTCGGACTGTCGGAAGACAGTATGTGTCGCTTCTGTTTGGAAAATGTGAAACACCAGAGCACATACTGTGTTTATTTGGTCCAGTGTGAATAGATGTGAGCCACAATAAACCCTTGCGGGTTGCGGTGGAGGGTCGACTAGACCCGCTCACTTTAGACCTAACCTAACCTAACTCATGAATGTTCTGTCATTTGGTCAGGATACAATCTACTTAATCAATGACTGTAACACCTCAACGGTTTTGTAATGTTGAGATGCGTCTGTCTCATATTCAGAGATGTGAATTCTTTGAAATAAAGTATTTTGAATACGAAAACAAAATGCAAAATACCTACTTTTATTTTACATTTCAAATACTTCTTTCGAAATGTATTCAGTGTTTTATTCGAAATACTTTACATAAATATGCAATATTTGTGATACACAAAATAGTTGTGTTACATTTTTTAATTCGTTTTTACTATTTTTCATTCTTAAATCCAAAATTACCTAATTTATGAACGCACTGAATGTGATCCTAAATGTTGTCACCATTGTCACCAAGAGCAATCTTAGGTTAATGACGTCAATCAAACTATGTATTTTTTGAGAGCTGTGTTGCTGTGTTCCTGTGTTGATTATTTTGTTTTCTTAGTGATTTTGCTCAGTTCTTTATGTAGAGTAGGGAGGGTGAGCCATTGACCCATTGTACATCCTCCCGAGGAGTTGCCCTCCTAAGTCATCGTCCATCCTGCCCTTTTCAGGAAAGTGGACAGGTCACTGGGAGACATCTCCTTTATATCGGCAGATGTAGGCCAAGACTCGCTGAACTCACACTCTCTTGTTGACGATAACTCCGGACATTCGCAAAGTCAGAAATCCAACTGACAAGCGCAGGTTTTTCCTGGTCATCGCCAGATATTTCGTCGGCACTAGCTTTCCAGGGTCACCTAGGGTGATCCTGGCAAGATTGCATCCGTTAATTTCATCCCATCTCTTTAGGGATTGAGCATGGGTATGACGTTTGGGTAGTAATTGTCGTAGTTATCAGGCTGTAGGTGCCACTGGGTCCTAAAATTCTCAGTCCAGCCACTTCCTTGCCTAAAGAGTCGGCATAGCGATTACCTTTACTCCTGTCGTGCCATCTAATCCACCCCAGGATAATGTTATTATCTACCGAGGCTTTGGCTGACTCTTGGTACTAGCCCTGAGGTAAAATGTTGTCTGTTCAAGGCTGATAGAGCTTGTCTGCTATCAGTGCAGATTGTTACGTTTTTGCCAGAAATTCCTTTCCTGGTTATTTCTTTTGTGGTGATTGAGATACCAGCCAGTTCTGTTTGAACTACGCTGGTATTTTTCCCATTCCCCACTTAATCCTTACGCTTAGTGATCTGGAGTACACTCCTCATCCTGAGCCTTCTTTAGCTTTTGAGTCGTCTGTATATATGCTTATTGCATTTGTAGCATCTGACTCTGTGTTCCGTTTTATTTGTATTTTGTATTTTTGTTTAGTAAACACAAACCTGGGTTCAATTGCATCACTGGTTGCCTGCAGCAGAGGTTACGCAGTAAGCGCTTCTCGCCAAAGGCTCAGCCTGAATTGACCCATTCCTACTTTGAGGTTTACACCAGTCGTACGCAATCGTAACATGGCCATTAACGCAACCTCCTTAACGTACAGGTCCAGATGGGCCAGACCAGTAATTAATTCCATTGCCGCGGTTGATGTTGTTCTCATGGCTCCTGTGATGTTTAAACAAGTCAATCGCTGCAGTTGATATAATTTCTTCATGACCTTTGCTTGTAGAACTTTCGGTCCCCATGCAATGGCTCGTACGTTAACATAGGTCTTATTATTGGAGTGTAGATTCAGGTGACCACACGGGGAGAAGGACCCCATGCGCATGCCACTGTCCGACATTGCTCATAACCCACATATGCTCTTTTTGCTCTACTCTGTAGGTGAGAGGAACATGTTAGCTTCCTGTCGAGGATAGTACCAAGGTGTTTCGAGAGGTTTAAGGCCGATAAACTTCTTTTCCTGGTGAAAAGGACCATCTCAGTCACGAATTTGCCTGTCTGCATGATAACTATGTCATCTGCATATGCGATTGTGTAGAATCCATTTCTGTTGAGGTGATTAATTAGGGTATCTAGAACTATGTTCCAAAGAAGGGGTGATAAGACCCCTCCCTGTTGACATCCCCTCATGACCAGTTATCTTCACTTGCTTGATGTAAATAAATAAAATATAAGCAATAAATTACAAGACAATACTAGGATCCTTGAACACGTATCCAAATGTAAAAAAACTCTTCCTTAAATATAATTCCTACACCTGTTGAACGACTATTTTCATTCGGTGAACAAAATCTAGTATTAAAATCAGTTTAATAAGTAATAAGGTATTCATTTGCAAAATTTATTTTGAAATTACGTATTTTGCATTTTGTATTTGAATACTTTCATTCAAAACTACTCGGTATTTCTAATTTTAATAGTGAAGTAACAATGCATTTGTATTCCGTAATCAAATACTTTTAATTAACTATTTTTTCACATCTCTGCTTGTGTTGTTCATCACAAGTACTACTTGACAGGCATAGGAGAGACATTATCTTCTGAAAAACCTTGGTAAAATTTTTGACCAGAAACAGCTTATTATGCTGTTTCTGGAATCCCATCTATGGTATTACTTTCTGAGGAGCTTATGCTTATGCAACAAAGATGTTTTTGTCGCCCAGAAACAGGTCACAAGATGTATAGCAGGAGTCTCAAGAAATATAATCTGTAATACTGACTTTACCAGGCCTGTATATATTCGAATTTTGTGTTTTTATATATGATAACCGTAACTGTTTCATAAGAAATCAAAATGTGCTTCCTATTGATACCAGGTGTAAGACAGACCTTCATATGCCATATTGGTAAAATGCACTGACTTATAATTCCCCCAATGTAATAGGGCTCAGATTATTCAATTTGCTATCCCTTGTACTGAAAAAACTCTAGTACCATCCAGTTTCAAAATTACATTCAACTCTTTTCTGCTAGACAAAAACTATTACTATAATAATGATTGAATTATAAAAAAAAATTCAATGAATGTGTTACTCTTAGTAAATTGTCTTCTTATTTCTGGTTTCATTTTTGAGCAGGATAATGAAAATTATTATTATCATCATTATTATAACTTAGCTACCAGTGTACTGCTTCCAGACCAGTATGCGTCCAGGTCAGGTATTGGATCAGGTTATTGTGCTAAGAGTGACACCACTTTTGTTATTTTCAAAACAACGAATGAAAACAATTTCGTGTTTTGATATTACACTGCTTCTTGATGGGAAAAATACCGTTCAAAAGAAGCAATGGGTTCAAAAATGTTAAAAGGGCTCCCCTCCATCGAAAACAACAATTAAACGTGGGTTTGCTAACTTCAAACGTGGTATAAACACATATCTGTTCGAGTGGTTCTCAAAATCAAACATAATTTAGTTTCTATAACCTTCATGAAATTTTCTGCAAGTTAGTTTCAGGCTACAAAAATGTTTGTTTCACGAAAACTGTCAGAAAAGTGGATCTATCGTCCGAGACATTGAAAATGTTCAAAATATCGTTCAAAATAAGAACTCACCTTTCAGGCAATTGGCAGGACATCGCACTCCCAAATTAATTGCAGATTTTCCCACCGTAGGTTTTCCACTGAGCGGATCAAAAAAAACTATGGACGGAATGAGTCGATCTCCATTTTTGTCAGGTATTACTTCAGCTCTACCGTCTCGGTAAACAGCAACGCTGGAATATGTCGTTCCCAAATCAATTCCAATTGGATATATTCTCGGTGCCTGGAACGATAATCGTATGTGAGAGCTGTAACATTCTAATTGAAGTTTCAAAGATTTTTTGTAACAAACAAGCTACTCTGAATGTTGGAAGCGGGTTATGGTTTTCTAGATGAGAGTGATACTATCTTTCAAGTTATAATCGACTCACAAAGATTTTCAGAAATATGTAAATTTTTGTTTTTATCACAAAGACAGTCAAAATTGTATGGTCATCAAATCATATAAATCTTAATAGAAGTAAATAATGACTTAATGACGATAAACTCCAAATTATTCTGCAGTTTTCTTCTAGGTCTTTGAAAAGTTGTTTAGTGTAATTTCAGAACGCCAATGAAAAAAGGGAAAAAGTGATTGTACGTATTTCTAAGATTCCACAAAACACCATTTCCCTNAAAAAACCGCTGTTAAATATTTTCTTTGATCAAAAAACAGTCGAAGGAAATAGTTTGTCTCGATATCCGATGTTTCCAATAGGAATTTCAATGTTCAGTTTCATTTGTATTCGGAGGCTCTAAACTTTTTACGTGTAGGTAATTCCAATCATGTTCATAGAATATTATTGGAGTTTTTTCCCAACGATAACCAAGTGATCATCTTCAAGAGGAAGATCTTCCTCTTGATCTTCTAAAGTTATCCACTAATAATTTTCACGTCTCTAATGTAAATTACAGGTTAATTTTCATTCATCCATATTTGATGTTGAATATTTGCGAATTTTAAATTTCAGTGTCATCTGTTGGTATAATGAAAAAGTTGAATGAGAATTTAATTTTCAATTACAGTTTCCTTTTATGAGGCTCCAAACAACACTATAGGAAATTCGGCTACCTAAGTTGAGATGTCGCTAGATGTTAATTTAAATAAAGGGCAGTGGTGGAACTTTTGACGTATTTAACTTGACGTATATCAACTCGAAAGTTTCCGAAGTCACAATACTGTCTAAACAAATTCTGTGAAATGCTTTTACAGTAATTTGAATCATTATGACTATTATTACAACTGGATAATTATGAATACAATTTTTACCTGAGCCTAAATCCTTAGACATTGCCTGAGCCATCATTTCACATAGTGTTGAGATCTATCCTAATTACCAATTTTCTAGTTGCAAACTAAATTCAATGAAGATGAACAATTCAAATATATTTGATCATTGGGCTATAATCACCAATTTTTAAATCTATTGATTCCAGATAAGTTATACCTCTTTGATTTAAATGTATAATTTCCATTCAATATTTTCTGAGTTATTTGCGAATTTTATACTGTTATTATCATCAGTAAATGTAATGAAAAAGTTAAATGAGCATTTCATTTTTAATTTCAATTTTCTTCTATAGGGCTTCAAACGACTCTGTGGAAAATACAAAGAAAAGTTTGACTACTGAGATTGAGATGTCGCTAGTTGTAAATTTTCTATTAATGAAAATTCAATATACAGTTTAACAAACAGCAATAGCATAATGTTTAGAGACTTAAATTTCGGCATTTTTTTAGGTAGGGGAGGTAGGGGACCATGACCATGATCGTTAACAGCTTCAGAGGCTACCTTCATGACGAGGCCAGATATCATCGTAGCGCAGAAGAAGGATCCGGTCTTGGAAAGTGTACGAGAATGGATCAACAAAGGAGTAAGACGAAGTGGCAAGATAATCTTTTCAAAGACGTGTATCCCGAAAATACTCAAACATCTTCACAAAGGTCGCAATGGAGGGCGACCTATGTATCTTAAAAGGTACCTTTTCCAGAGTATGTGAATTTGCCAAATCCAAATCACAGCTTTCCAGCAACAGGCTTCACTAACCCCAAAGTCACAAAGGTTTGTGTAACAAATTTCGGAGATCATTGCAAGGACCTTCCTTGGTAACCCAATAGATGAAGGATCAGGTGTACAGAATGCAATTGCCACACAGTCTAAAGTTGTCCACATAGAACGACTGAGTCCTTACATGGGTCGTGATGTCTCTTCTTGGGATGCTGTTCGGGGTGCTGTAAATCATCCCCTGAAAAAATAACGAATGTCGCGCTCAACTCGACTTGTGCTTCGCCATCGTTTTAGAAGTCGCTATGCTCCGTGAGACTTCCAGAAACTTCTCTTACGACTTCCGGAGACTTCTTTTACGATATATAATTACTACCAACAGGTAGATTGGGAGTCTCTGGAAGCCGATAAGGAAGTTTCTGGAATTCTTTCGAAGCGACGCGACATCTTGAACGAACGCGAAACGCAAGTCCAGTTGAGCGCGACCTTGGCCAAGTCACAATCGATTAACGAAGATCAGCGGCGGCCGGCGTTATTTTTGCAGGGTATGATGAACAACACTATGAAGACAATATGAGAGTAGCAGATGAATATTACTGAAGTTCTATCCCTACACCAAACCATTATTTTCAACACCTCGATACGTGTTTCGGTCACCAAGTGATTGTCTTCAAGAGGAAGAGGATAGAACTCCAGTAATATTGATTACAAGACCAAAGGTTCCAAACAGTGCATCACAGGAGTAGCAGATGTTTCACTTTGTCTTTGACTTGATGATCGTTCATGTACTTTATTTTGTTTGACAATTCGTCAAAGAATTTAAGGTTGAGAGAGTTCCTTTTAAAAATGGACAGTTCTGTTCACAAAACACTTTGTACGACTGGAAGGAGTTTCCTCACAGAAGAATACCTAAACTCAAAAGAGAATAAAAAATAGAGATATGATATCAGTGAAACTTCAGTGGACACGCATTTACCTCAACAGAAAAATTTGGCTTGAAATTTTGATGCAGAGCGAGTCAATATGAGGGGTTCATTTGAGAACACCTTCCAGAAATATATCTAAAAGCGTTACATTCCTGTTCTTAGAAATATCTTGATTTGTG